AAAAAAACCCCCTCTCATACCCAAGCGGGCGAATCGCGCCGGTCACCATTTCCGTTGCCCGCCACCGCTTTTACTGTCATTACCGTCACTTACATTTACCTCAGTGTATAGTAAGGATTACATAAGTATCAAAGCAAAATTAAACATGATTACCAAAATTAATTACTCTAGATGTAGTAGACATTAGAAAATAATTAAGCTTAGCATGACCACATGGACTCTCCCAGTCCTAAGCTGGTGTGGTCCACCATCATATCCATGTCGAAAATGGGCCGGGCTTGAGAGCCCATGAACTTGGAAGACGGTGAGCCGCTATTAGTTGGGCTAGCCGGGCTCAGCCCATGGTTGGAGAAAGATGCAGTCTGCCTAACCCTAAGGTGCACCACCTCCGCCTGAGCCAGAGCCAGTTGGGTCTGGAGCACATCAATTTGTTGCTGTAAAGACGAAATTGCCCCTACACACCCATAAACTGGGTCTCGCACCCTGGCATTTGCTTCATACACCATGCTGCTGACTGCATCTCCACGCTGGTGCTCTGGCAGCTCCTGCAAGTGTCACAAAGTTTAGCTTGGTCTTAGCCATGGCTCCAAAATTTTGTAATATTGGTCTGAACCCAACCCAAGTGCCAAATTAAAGGCCCTAGGTCCTACAAAGTTAGCTCGATGTAATAATGATCACAGCACTCTATGATCTTTTCTGGACCTTAATCATGCTGGTCTCAAATTAAGGTCTGTTACTTTATTGGTTGAGGCATCACGTCCTACTAACAAAAAAAATCTATTGAGGCATCACGTCTCACTCGAAACGAAGAATGGAAAAACTCTTAAATAGCACTATTATTGTAGCAATGTTTTCAAATAACACTAGTACTGAAGTGAATTGACAATATGTTGACTATTTGGTATCTATGTAATGTCACAATATCGACAACATATTATATATATATATATATATAAGGACAATTTGCTACAGTAATAGTGTTGTTTCAAAAACACACTACTAAGTAATAGTGCTATTTGAGGAGAAAGACTTTTATGAAACGGAGATAGCACTATTTTGCTATCTCCGATCAATAACGCTATGACATACGTGATAACACTTTCACGTGACATAGCATTATTGAATAGGGATAGCAAAATGGTGCTATTCCTATTATAATTAAGTTTTTCTCCAATTTGTTGAGCATTTTTTGAAAAAGGAAATAAATTCAATTTATTGGGTTTTTTTAATAATTTAATAAAAATAAATAAATTCAATTGGGCCAGCTATCATTTTTTGGGTTTTTTTTTTTTCGGTTTGTTTATAGAAATTAAATGGTGTAGGATTTATTTAT